TTCTAAAGTAAGAAGATCTCAATTAATCTTTCATATGTACATATGTTTTTATTTTCCATATTTGTAAAGATTTGATATCTTGTTCATAATCTTGCTACTTTGCCTAAATTGTTCTCTCAATTTTTTTAAAGACTGTTTGGTATAGCAATTTTAGAGTAATGGTTAGCGATTTTACCTAAACTATTAAGTATACGTACTTGATAAATTTGTATATTTCAAAACTGTAACAAGTAAAATATTTGGTAAAAATTTTTATTTAGCTTTTTGGAATTAGCAGATAGTAATTAGGGTTCAAATCGCTAGCGCATTGGAATTTTATAATTTTATCGATAAATTTATCCTTTTTAAATTTTTTAATTTTTTGTCACATTTTTTAATTAATATTTATCTAATAAGTTTCAATTTTGTCTTTTTACCTTTAATAACATTAAGTGATTATAATATTTTTATTTTTTACATTAATTTATCATTAAAAAATATTTTATCTTAAAAAACAAAATTTACTAATTAGACAAAATGATTAATTTTTATTTAAAAATAATATAATTTTTCTTTGTTAAAAATAAAAATGAGGGTATAATTACATTATTATAATTAATTTTATTTATTTATTTTCTTATTATTATTTTTATAAAATTAATAATTTTAATAATAAAAAATATAAAAAATATTTAAAAAATATATTTAATTATTTTTAAACATGTATTTATTAGTAATTTAATATTAAAGAACAACTATTAACCAAACAATTATTTCTATCGAATCCGTTATTTATTATTGATTATTTACTTTCCGCTATCCATTATCTATTATTTGCTAACCTTTAACCGTTATCCACTATCCGCTATTTGCTAATCTCTAACCACCACCCACTAACCGCCATCCACTAACCACCACCCGCTACCGCTACGTGCTATTCGTTATCTGCTAAATTTTAACCACTATATCAAATAGATCCAAAAAAAATTTTCCACCATGTGCTCAATTGTTTTTTTAAAAAAAGAACTTTGAATTACAAAATATGAGATAACCCTCTTCTATTTTTCAACTTACTCCACCCGCATGCCATACAATTTTAACTCAAAACTTCTTATTTCCTCTAGAAAAAGATTAATTAGCATT